GAACACAGCTGCCAGAAACGGCACACATAGGGAACAATTGCCCCTTGTTTTTGGTATGGTCACTGGGAGGGGGGGAAGTCCTATCACAGGAAAGTACCAACACTTCAACTGTCTGAATGGAAGAGAAACCTCGAAGCCCACACCTCTTTCCTTCTGCCATTTCGTACTGTAATTTTACATGTAATGACATGGCAGTGGCAGTGTGGTATGATTCACATAAGCAAGAAGGATTTACGTTGCTTCTAGACAAAGGGCTTATAGTGTTAGAAATTTGAACACTGTTGTGCAGCTACTCTCTCTTTTTTTAAAAAAAAAATCTCTAACCACTGGGATTGTTGTTGTTTTTCCCCCTGATAAAGATGGACCTAATGTGAAAACACACAAGAGCCACAAGCTGAAAGCAGCTGTGCCTGGGCTGCCCTATAAAATTCTGTGACAAGAGCCGATGCATTTATTCGGGAACTAGCCACAAAATCCTTTCTGGCTAGGATCCAGACCCAAGCAGAAGAAAGTTTGAGCTCCTGGCTAGGATCCAGACCCAAGCAGAAGAAGAAAGTTTGAGCTTATATTGTTTGCCTTGTATTCAGGTCAGGATTGTGACCCTCCCAGATCTCCATTTCCAAACCAAAGCCTGAGATGTTCAGATGTGTTCAGAGCACATCTATAAAGAAAAGTAATATTTCAAAGCCATCTCAGATGTCTAACGCCCTCTTCTTGAGAAGAAACCAGAGCCAGGAGCGCTACCCTGGAACCTCTTGCCATTCAAACCTTGCTCAGGCATTGTAAAACCTGGTGCCATGAAGACACTTAGCAGGCAGAGTCCAGGTCGCCCACATCCTATCCCTTGTGGCATTCTTCATGGTCTCAGCACCTAAAGAGACCTGCTGGCGTTGCAAGCTCTAAGACAGGCTTTCTTGAATTCTTTCCCCCTTGTGCAATGCCAACACATCACCTGAGATCTCCCCTTGCCAGACCCGCCTCTGAAACAAAGAGAGAGAGGAGGAAAAAAACATAGGCAGAGGAAGCAAGGCAGGGCACCCCCTTCTGATCATATTCAGCAACAACATTTGTAACACCTGAAGACAACATCAGCAAAAAGGAAAACACATATGTTTTTCACAGCATTATCGGTTTGCAGCAATGCACGCACCCGCACGCACACTCTGGACTGTTTGCATTCTGCTACAAAATGAAAAGGGATGGTGATGTGAATGAGATGGGAGGTCTAGCTGTTCCACGTTCATTTTTAGATTAATGTAACGTAAAAGGGTTAGATTAATATAACGTAAAAGGGAGTGCGTTTGCTTTGCCGGGTGTGCATGCATGGCAGCTGGCTCTACCCTTGTCCATGTCCTCTAGACCTTTGTCCGCCTCTTCCGCTTCCCTCATGTTTAATGAACGCCTGAAATAGGATGTCTTGCTCTGGATCTCGGGACGCTCTGCAAAGTGGAAAAGAAACTCAATATACACAACCAGGTTGTGATTATGAAGCCGTCTTCCTTTTCATGTGGAAGAGCTGATGTTGCAAAAACTGTACTCTGAACTCGGAGTTTTAAAATGTTATTTTTCTGAACTACAATTTCCAGAACCCCTCAGCCAGTACCACCAAGAACTCCACAGCCTGGGAGATTCTTGGAGCTGCAGCCTCCAAAATGAATTTCCCAAGCTTTTATGAATATATGGAAACAGGGGAATACAGTCAGCCAGTTTTTAAAAAATCCCTTTCTGCATGTTCAATATACACGTTTTCTGGCCATGCTAGCTGATGGGAATTATAACTTAATGAGAGGAACCTCTCCTTTTTACTGTTAGCAATCATGTTATGTCTCTCCAGCTGGCTAGATAGCTCTGTGGTTTGGGGATCTGCCTGCGGAGCCAGAAGTTGGGAGTTCAATTCCCCCACTTGCTTTCTGGGAAAAGAGCTAGCCTGGGTAGCCTTGGGCAAGCTACACAATCCCATGGCACGTGCCCCCACAGAGGAAGGGAATGGTAAACCATTTCTGAGTATTTACTTAGAACAACCTGAAAAGGGTTGCCATAAGTCAGAATTGGCTTGATGGCCCAGATTATTATTATTATTATATATTATGTCTCTCTGGACAACACCAGCAACTGTGGCCAGCAACATTTCATGCCCAGCCAATACTCATTTCTAGCCCTCCCTTTGTTTCTGGGTGGTGAAGTTCATAACCTCCAGAAACTGCTGAAAATGCAAATAGACACAGATTTGCCAGCTTCTATTGTGGAGTAATAGGGTTGAAATCATTTCAGATTACTGAAAACAAGGATGCCCTATCCCAGCCTTGTGCGTGGCATTTATGACTCCTCAATCAGGAGGCAGACCCGTCCAGTCAGCAAAAACGGCCATGGAGAATTAATGAAGTCAAAATAATAAGAAAAGAAAGGGAATTGCTTTGCAGAAATGAGTCAGTTACAGCAAATCAATACTTCATATTGTTGCTTGTCCTGTTTCTGAACTCAAGCAATTGCTTTGTGCTTCCAGATCAAAATCATGCCTGGTTCTGTTCTATTTTACTATAAATCACGACTAGGAAAAGTAACTTTTTGGACTACAGCTTCCCCCTGCTGACGTCTCCCAGCCAGCCCGCAAGGTCTGGCATGATGCTCCACCTAGAGGAGCTCCCCTGCCCCCCCCATGCAAGCTGAGGCCACCTAGATCATGACCCAAGTTGGCCACAAAGAACTGAAGCCCTCTACGGATGGCCCTCTGCACCAACACAGAGGCCCCAATCCAGACCAGGCCCCTGAACTAGCTATCTGAGGAAGAAACTCTCCGCCCACAGAGGCCAGCCATGTAATTAATTTGGGCCTTGTACCGCCAGCTACAGAAAAAGAGCCAGTCTTCATCCTCCTCCTCTTAGAACTGCAGAGCTGGAAGCGATCATCAAGTCCAGCTCCTTTCAAGGAGGCCCTGTTGGGACTCAAACTCCCAGCTTCTGGATCTACCTCTAGAGACCTAGCACTCTTCCCTTCCTCCCTCATCCACTGGGTAAGCCAGAGGCTTCAAAAGGAGAAGCCATGTCTATTCAACATACACCTTCTGTTTTACTTAACATGTCAGAGACATCTATAAACTATTAGGGTAGTGGGTGAAAAAGGAAGGCACCTGGTTGTTGCTAGGCAACCACCCATACATCCACCTCTGCTTCCCCAATTTCCAGCAGTAGTAGATGAATGTACTGGGTTGTGTTGTTCTTATTTCTTTGTTTTTCTACCTGTTGTCTGTTTTTTTTTCCTACAGAACCAGCCTGAGCTTCGTGTGAAGTGGTGAGTGAGGTGGGGGTGTGGTGAGTGTGCCAAGAAAGGGAAGGCACACTTCTCTTTACAAAATGAACATTGGACATTTCAAAGCATCCGGCCAGTGTAACAGACAACCTTGAAGGCAGGGACATTTTAAAACAAAAACATGTTTGCATTCAATGCTGCTTCATTCCCATCATAGGCCTCTCCAAAGAACAGTATGGAAATTTAAGGGGTTTGTTTTCGGGGGGAGGCGGCAGCACAGGGCGCGCTGTCTACACGACTGAGCCATCTCCTGGACTTTCAGATTAAAAGATGACAACTCGTGTGCTCTTTACTGATCTTGACAAACAGCATCATAATGAGATCAAACCTTTAGACTCTGAGCTCGTAGAGAAGTTGCCAAGATTTGCTGTCAGAAATGAAGGACAGGCTATTAAGCCTTGCATTTATACGGGACTAAACAGTGAGTTTAATAACTAGACACCCCACAAGATATTATTTCATCCTGCAAACATACACATGGCTGGGTAGAAAGAGATAAATCACAGACTGAAAGGCAAAAGTCCGGTGTGTCACATCCCACAGCTTCCCTCATCACCTGCTGGTCTTTTATAGCACTCCATCAGGAAAGCGGCTTACAGCCTAGATCTGATAAAAATTTATGGATGTTAGTTTCGAAATGGGGAGCCTCCCTCGTGGCCTTAATTGGTGCAGCCCTGCTCTATACATGTGCAAAGGGCAAAAGAGAGAGATGAACTGCTGCTTAAGTTTGAATAATTTTCCAAAGGAGCCTTGGTAGCTCATGTCTGGATTGTGTAAAAGAGATAATGTGATGCAGAATGTTGGAGATTCTCATCTGCATATAAATAGAACTAATCAGAAATGCAAATAGCAATCAGGGGAAATTGTAAAAAGCCCCATGACAATTTTGCAATTGTACAGATAACAAAAGGTCAAATATTTTCATTTTCAGTGCTTTTAAATCGCTGATAGCCAGTGGCTCTCCCTTCTTCTACTAAGTGGAATAGGGAAGAAGCAGACCTATTCCAACTGAGAGTCAACCTAGGGCAGACCCTTGAGGGAGGGCCGTCCATTTCTGTTAATAACTGCACTATAATTAATTTATTTTTCACAGGATTGGTTTTTTTAAATAATCCTAGTTTCTTCTACCAAAACACAAATAAACACAACTACCAAAAAATCCACATCTGTGAAATAAAATGTGCACTGGGATTCAGATATGGTAATAAAGAATATCTTATTTTCTACATGCAAATAAGCACTAAAGAAGGAATAATACTGGTGATTTACAATACTAAACAGTTTCAAAATTATATTTGCTGCTCAACAATCCATAATGAACCAAACTCTCTACTCTACAGCACCTGAAAAAGACAAAAAAACACCCTAAATTAATGACCTTTACTTATTGATAAATTGAGTTATTTCTCCATTGTGCTTTATGAATGTATACGGAATCTGTTCTAATGATTCTATATGATCATATCTTAAGGGGAGACTATTAAAACATGAAGACTTTTATTATAATAATATCTATCTACGCATAAGCCAGGACTGACAGGAGTCTTCTTAACACTAGCATCTCTCCGCTCATATTTCTCAATTAGGCTAACTTACCATGCAATGATGCACCAAATAGGTATTTTCACTGGCGAAATGCAGCTGTCTTTGTGAGCAATAGTCTAGCGAGCCAAGAGAGCCACCTAGCGCCATACCTTGGGATCTTAAAAAGTGTTTTCACCGGATGCATGTCAAACAGAGGTGGGTCTCCATCGCCCAGTTCAATAGCAGTGATCCCAAGAGACCACACGTCGCAGCGGGCGTCATAGGAGTAGTCGTACTGCTGTTCACACGCAATGACCTGTCAAGATTAGAAAGAAAGAAAATATCCCCTGAACTTTCTCGGAATCCGTAATCGCTTGACTGTCCAAGCAGATCAGACCAACAGGCAAGATCTTGTTACCAGTTCCATTTCAGTTCTATTGTGTGCGCGCACACCCTATTCACACTTTTCTGTCTGTTATAATAAGCGTCCATCAAAGAATCTTTGATGTGGTTCACAGGATGTAGCAGAATTAAGAATTAAATTCCTGATCTTGAAGAACCCCAGAAGAATGTTAGCCTCCAAAATAGGCTCTATTTTATTTATTAGTTATTTTATTTTATTGGATTTCTACCCTCCCATCTAGACCAAAAGTTTATGGCAATTAATAGCATTTTGTTCTAAAAACAGCACTGATTTTTCCACTCCTTTGCTGCTGACCTTGGCACGGAAAGAAGACTGTTTGAACCTAAAGGAAGAACAGGATTCTCCAAGAGGAGTCCTTGTAACCTCCCTCGGAACACACTATTGCAGTTATTGGTAGCCACTTGCCCATTTTTGTGGTATTCCTCAAATACCATGAAAATGAGACTTTGTTATTTTATTTTATTTTTATTCTGCCTTCCTTCCCCTAGCAGGGATCCAAGGTGGCATGCAAAGACATTTAAAACCCACCATTTAAAACATACCAATGAAAATTTAAAACTATTGCTTATAAATATTTTAAAATATTCTTTAAAATGATGAGTTGGCTCTTAAAAGGCCTCCCCATCGTGGTTGCTGGTTGATTCCCAGGAAGAGCTGGAAGGGAAAAGGGAAGAGGCCAACAGCATCTACTGAGGGAAGGAGTTCCATAATCTGAGAGCAGCCACAGGAAAATCCTCCCTTGAGTCATCCTCAGACATGCTTATGAAAGTGGTGGAACCAAAATATGGTGTTCACTGAAAACAGGATGACATATTTAGACCTGCAAGAGGTTTCGCATCTAGAATCCCTGGCAAATGAACCAGCCTGGGTACAAAATATCTTGCCTTGAAATCCCAAATTCACTGAAATCAGACATTCCAGAGCAGGAAAACATTTACCCACATGCATTATCTAGATGGTTGTTCGGACATTTATTCTGCTCTGATTCCAATAAATATTAGATTTGCAGGGAGAAATGTGAGGAGAGTTTGGGAATTAAAATACAAACTAGCACAAAACCAAGAAGGAATAGGCGTTAGAAAGGGACAAATCACAATAAGGGGAGCTCTAAGGGCAAAGAACTACCGTAACTGGATGCTGTTAAAGATTTTCCACGATGATGAACACAAAGCTATCGCATGCTGCACCTCTTCAGTCTCAAAGTATGGAACACATGCCTATAAAGGATAGCCGCAGGCATAAAATGTACGACATGGAACGATTACGACTGTGGAACAAGGCTGGCCGGGGACTTACACTGTACAATTAGTGCTTCTGACCCACCGAGCTGGACGGAAGCAGGAGTGTAAAAGGGTTGAAACTCCTGGAGTAAAGCTGGCGGCGTCCATAGCTTAAGCAGCTCATGAAGTATGCCAACAGCGTTCTCCAAAAATGGATCAATGCACCCAGAACTGTGAATACAGCAGTATATTTTCATCCTTGCTCCAAAGAGATTAAAACAGCTAACCATTAAGTAAATAAAATAAAGCCTCTAACTTTCGCAGGCAGCTGCATTGTACGGATTCTACAGAAAGCATTGTTCAGATTTTGACAGACTGAGTCTCTGTAGCTTGAAATAGTTATTTTCATTTCCCATCTACTCCTGGTGGTTTATTTCTTCCAAGCACTTTGAAAGCAGCTTTCACTCCACTTTTAAAATAGCAGGTTTATCATCACAAGAGTCTTCTTCTAAGGAATCTATCATCCTCGTATCTCTCCTGCATAGTTCTTCAACATATTGTTTCCACTTTCCTTTTATTTCACTGTAGTCAGATAGTACTGTATCCTGTTGATATTTCAGCATCAATAGTCTAGGTTTAAATATCCCTTTCGTTTATTGGATCCTAAGGAAGACATATCTTGTTTTTCTCTGGGAAAAGGAGCAAACTGGGCCATCCCCATCCTGGACCAATCTTTGGGACAAATGCTCATCTGATCACACCCTGAGTCTAGTCTCCTAGTGGCACTGCTCTCAGCTTCTCTTACTCACTGAAACTTACTATGTTGAGGTGTGCACCTAAGCAAGGGTTATATACAATTAGGATGTTCTAAATGTACAGAGAAGGAACAGATAAAAGTCTTCTCTTAGTTCATTACAGAACAAGCTCTCAGGGATTGGAGTCTGTGGAAAGCTTACACCATGACAATGTTTTACTCTGTAAGAGGCCACAAAATGCTTCACTGTTCTATCTCAACAGATTAATATGTCTATCACAATGAAAGTATACACAGAAAAAACAACAAAATCAGAGGCTGTTCACAGGGGTAGCTCATTCCAAGTAAGGGGGGGAGGGTTTTCATCCCAAAGTATCAAGATCTCTTTCTCTCTCTCTCTCTCTCTCTCTCACACACACACACACACACAGAGAGAGAGAGAGAGAGAGAGAGAGAGAGAGAGAGAGAGAGAGAGAGAGAGAGAGAGAGAGAGAGAGAGAGAGAGAGAGAGAGAGAGAGAGAGAGAGAGGAGCTTGGGCTACAGATGGCCTATGGATGTAAGATTCCTGGCAGCCTATCTGTGGCTATGGTCAACAATGACCTTATTACAGATGAGGTCAATTGAACTGGGCAGAGGCAGAGCATGCATTCCTCGGTGTGAGCGGCCCCTGTTGCCCCTTCCATCACAACACAATATTTTTGCTCAAACATAACCCTAACATCAGCAGTCCCAACTATTCTATGCATCAATAGGACACCGACGATCAACTGAGAGTCTCTCTGTCCTTTGGCAGCCTCAAGGGTTGGTCAGGACAGTAGGGTAGAAGCCTCTCTCCTCTTCTAACTCTAGCACACCTCAGAGGTGGACAAGGCATGGCATGCCACAGCAGGGATGCTGAATGGAATGGGCCCTGGCACTCGAACCTGCATGCAGATACGTCTCCGCTTTCACCCCAGTGTAAGGGGCCACAGTGCCCAAGGGTCTCCAAAGGCAGCTATGGCTGTAGCATAGATCCTTTCCAGGTTGAGGGGGACCTGGCTAGCGGGAGAAATGAGGCTAGAGGTGGGAGGCTAGTGGGAAGACTCCATGCTCTGGTGAGTCTGACCCTTGGCGCACTTGATGCTGGACCCTTTGCCACCACCAAGCTCTGTGCTGTTGCATGCCTCAACGGGCCTTGTGACACCTCTGTTGGTCCCAGCAAACCCGTGCAGCTTCCTCAGGTGGCACAAGGAGGTTGACCCACTGACCGGTCTATGGATCACATCTCCAGACCATCTCCCAGCTCTGTTTGCCGTTGGGTCTCACTCTGTCTCTGCTTGGCAAACACTCCAGTCCGCTCTGTCCACCCAGAGGTCATCTTCCTCCTCAGGGCCTGGCTCTTCCTCCCCTGACTGCCACATTCCTGGTCTCCTCCTTGGTGCCCCTTACGATTCCTCCGGTGCCTTTGATTGGCTCCCCAGTCTATTGGAAAGCTGCAGGTGGAAGGTGCTCTCGCTGGGGTTCTTGAGGTGGGTGACCCACTAAGCGGTTGAACTAACCTAAAGGGCAGGGTCCTGGTTGGCAACCACATTTGGAAACATTCCTTTTATGAGTAATGATACTCACTTACGCAGCTAGTGTGGCCAGTAGATTTGTGGCTGTTTTGTCCCGGCTGAGTCTTTAGGCAAACTGACCGTTTTGTTATCAGTCCTTAGATATGAGAAAGTGCACACGCTCAACAAATTCTTTTCTTCCAGCAGAGAACGCACAGATCTCCTGGTTAGATTGTGTTTGCTTTTACCCATTGAAACGAATCTGTCCATGCATGATTACTTACAAATGCCTCTGAGGCAGCAAAAAATAATAATAAATGCTTCTGTACATCTTAACTTCTCTCCGGGTTATATCATTTCCCTAGAATTTAGCCAACACAAACCCTTCTTCTTATTTAAATATTGGACTGGCTAGAGAGGAAAACTGTCCCTCCAGATTAGAGAAACCCATGTTAGCTAAATAGGAAGGCAAAGGAACTCCTAGCTATTAACCTAGGGGTGACCTTGAGACCCATGATGTGGACCAGTGAGTAGTGAATAGGAGATGCTGAAGGGTGGGGGGGGAGGACAAAGGAGAAAAGAATCTTTCTAAGACTATTGTAGGCACTGGGCAATGTTTATTTCCAATTAATTTTAAAACATAAACACTGTGGTTGCTGTTTTCAGTTACATAAAGCGCTGTCATTTCTTCTTCGTCATTAAAAAGGAGTTTAAGGCATTTTAATTAAAGGTGCTCAAGCCATTTTAAAAGCAAGTGTGATATTACAAGTTATCCTTTTGATGGAGTAATCAAAAGAAGTCTGTTCTGATTAGATAAGAGCCTTGCTTTTCTAGCAAGAGTCAAATTTTCTAGCTGAATAGCTTTATTTAACAGGACGCTTCTGGAACATCAGGGAAGATTACATCAATTTTTTTCCAGTAAGAACTTTCTTTTTAAAAAAAAAAAAATAATCCCCAAAAAGTTCATCCCCTTTTTTAAAATCCATGCTACTGCAAGATAGAAAACCTTTTCAACATTTCTTTTTTGCTATTGTCTGTTCTTCCCCATATGCTTCAGAATGAATCTTTTAAGAAAAATATAGATTTTCAGAGTTTTTGATGATTTTTAATTTTTTCAAAAAATATTTGTATTTTATTTTTTTTATTTCCATAAGAGAAGGAAAGGCATCCATCCTGCTGTTGTTAGGACAGAGCAATATATCTGGGAGAAATATGTGCCAGCATTAGAGGGGCCACGATGCTTGCATACACATGAAAAATAGTAACAAATCCTGTGTATGCCAAATATGTTTTCAGAGATACTTGCTCTACAAGAACTAATGATTTCCTTATAACCTCTTGCCCTGTAAATCATAAAACATATACTTCACAGCAGTCAGTCTGCAAGAGAAAAAGGCTTACACGTGTCCCTACAGATAAAGGGAGATCTTATTGGCCATAAATAAACTTTGACACCTGGAATGCCAGCCAAAGGAGAACCTTAGAGCAGGCTGCCAGGATGCCAGGAGCCCCACAAGAGCAAATTGCAATGTTTTATTCCTTCAAGCACTTGCTCTTTCAGACAACCAACTTACTTTCATTATTGCAGCAACTAACTAGGTTAATTGCTTTTAAAAATATATAGGTTTTCAAGGCATGGTGGGAGGCATTGTCCACCAACACTTTTGTCAGCTCAGCATTAGAAGAGGGTGAACTAGCAAGTTGCAAAGAGGATGATCGGCCCAGGACCTCTTTTCAGGGAGTCGCAGCTGGATGAAGGCCCGTGACAGGCGCCCACCAGGCTGGTGTTTGATATAAGTCGTGTGTGCCAAAGACACAGCACGGACTGTTCGGACTCCCTAATATACAGCGGCATTTCAAACAGGATGACGGCTGCATGGAACATTGCATGGATGCATATATGTTTCTTTAAAAATTGATCTGGCAAAGACCTAATTACATCATCACTAACCCTCAGGATATTGGCCTGAGGAAACCAGGCCCCATCCCCTGTTGGAGATCTGTTTACAATTCCACATGCTTTCTGTAGTCTGAGGGACTGGGAAACTGTTCCTGGCCTGGGATGATTGCCAATATATCCAGTACTAACCAATCATTCCTTCTAGCTTTTGAAATTTAAACACAGCCACACCTATCTGCTGAGTGTTCTATCCCTCTTTTTTCTTGGTTGGTGGCAGCTACAGTACTTTTTTGCTGTTGATCTGTTAGGTTGGATGTTAAAACAGTAGGACCCCCGTATCTGTGGGATCGGTATCTGTGATCTGACTTATCCGCAGTCTGACAATATTAAAAATATTAAAAGGGGGGGAAAAAACCTAGAACTACATATTTTCATGTATTTATCAAAACTGGCTACTAGAGGGAGCCAAAGACCATGCAATGTATTCTTGTTGTTCTCAGCATCTGCAGGGGGGTTTGAACCAATTCCCCACAGACACAGAGGTCCTACAGTATATATGCAGTAAAGAAAGCAGTATACCCGAGTCTGTAATTTCAAGCAACTATAAGTAAAGAACATTTTTTGTTTTATTCTTTTTCTTACAGATGTCTCAGAATGAATAATGGAGACTTTGAGAGTTGAGAAGGACTAGAGGACAGAATATTTTGGAGATCCCTCATTCAGAGGGTCACCATGAGTCAGAGGTCACTTGATGACATGTAACAAGAAGAACACACATAGCATCACTCACCTCAGGTGCCATCCAAAATGGGGTTCCTACTGATGTGTTTCTTCTCAATCTCGTGCTGGTGAGTTGTGCAGATACACCTATAATAATGAAATATTCTCAAAACATTGAGGCAATAGCATTGTCATAGTCACTTCAATACAGTCTTTTGCATACCCAAATACCTATTCATTGTCTGTAGATCAGAGTAGCCCAAGATATCCTGCTGCCTGAGGTAAAGGGCGGGATGGCTCCCCCTCCATATTCCATGTATAAAAGCCAACTGGCCCAGCCGCTAACACTATGGAAATGAGGGTGTGCTGTAAGATGAGGAACCTGGTGTTTGCCAGTCCCACCCATCTAAGACCCAGACCTCTAAGCCCCTCCGCTCTAAGCTGTTCCCAAGGGCTATCAGAGCTCTCTGGAAGAATATGTGATCCTGAATGAAAGATGGTATTTTGTCACTTGAGACACAGGTCAAGATGGCAAATCCCTGGTGCAGAAGCAAACAAGACAGATCATTGCATGATAGGTCAACATTAGAGCCTCAACAGCACCATCCACCGTATCAGAGGGCAGACGTTTAGTTGAGGAGGTGAAAGGAGGACTGTGTGACACACGCAGGTGTGCCCCCCTCAACAGAGGAGAATGGCCAGGGGGTTTAAGGAGACCGGGAGGAAGGACCACTGCTGCTCCCCCAGGCACCAGCCTTGCCTCCCTCTGCCTATAAACAGCTACAGCCTGGGCACAAGTGCACAACGGTGGCTGGATACAACGCGATGCAGCTTCGTAGGGGGGGAAAGACATGCACAAAGTCACAGAAGCATAAGAGGCTGCCTTTTACTGAGACCCTTGATCCAGTCCAGTCCAGCCTTGCCAACTCTGACTGGCAGGAATAGCTTTCCGGGGTTTCAGCTGAAACTTTTTCCTGGGACTCCCCGGAGACCCCTAATTATTCCTTGCTGGTCTCCCATCCAGCTACACCAGGCCCAGGACTGCTTAGCTGCTGACCTGTCCGAGAAACAGTTCTGTGCTTTTCTGTGAAAGCCACGTCCCACCTTGCATACAGCTTAGCACCCTGTTAGGGTCTGCTGAGACAGATTAACATGGACATGGCAGACTCGATCTCTGTGCTGGAAGAGGGATGGCAGCCATGTTCAATGACGCCCCAGCAGCTGAAATACACAGGGTCTTTCCCATGAGGCCCTTCAAGGACTGTGTGGGGCAGCAGTCCCATGTTGTCAACTAAGTGTAACACTTGGGGTTACCTGGATCTACGAACAGTTGCCTGGTTGTATTATGTGTATATGCCATCCTATGCATGCTCGCTGAGAAGGAAATGCCACTTCTGCATTCAATGAGCCTTAAAGGCTGGCACTTAATGGCTGTATGTGAGGTATAAAAAAATTGAAGTATAGTCAGTGGTGTGGGGGTTTCCAGCTCCTGGGGCAAGGGAAATATGGTGCCTGAAGCAGCCGGGGAGGGGGCTCAGCACCGCCGCAGTCCTCTCTCCACACCACTCCTCCCACGTGGCCCACCTGCCCACTTTGTTTACACTGGGGGAGGGAGGCCGGGCTGCCCCAGGCTACCTTTTGCCCTCTGGGCCACCCTCTCCAAGGAGGTGGGTCCACACATCAGTCGCCAAACCCAGTCGCCACCGCCACCTGCTGAAAGGGGGAAATGGCGTGAACGAGGCAGCCGCACTTAGAAGAGGGGCGGGTGGCTCACACACCCGTTCGCCTGCTATGCGCCCGATGGCTCCATGGCAGGGCTGAAAGGCTGCACTCCCAAGAATTTTGCTCCCAGGGCAACTGCCCCGCCGTGGCCCCTCCCACACTAGGCCACCGAGTATAGCCAATACGCATACTGATAAAATATACGTTTTGCTTTTCCTTGTTTTGCAATCTAATCTTTAACACATTCAAGGACAGGCCTTTGGACGGACATGGGAGTTGTCCACAGGCCGCAAATGCACATCTGAAATCTGGGAGGGACCTCTGATTTTAGCAAAGGGTGGTGGCC